CCATCGCATCTAAGTATCACCTCCTCAGGGAAGCCTGCCTTGACTGCCCCTCTTGGTCAACACCCCCACTGGTCCCCTTTTCTGAAGCTGCCACAATTCTGTTTGTAATTTGTTTAGGGGATTGTTTGACCCACATCTGTTGCTCCAGTTAAACTGTCCACGCCAGGAAGGTAGAAGCCATGATTATCTTGTACACTGCTATTTTTCTGGCTCCTGGAACCATGGTCATCCAAAATGTATGCTGAATGACTGAATGAGTAAACGAGTAGATGAATGAGTGAGTGAACAGACATAGGAAAGGAGCAAGGTGTCCGGGTTGGCAGAGCAAGTCCAGGAGGGCCAGGACTAGGGTGAGGCAAGAGAGGCATCAGCGTCTGGCACTTAAAAAGTTCAGTAATCAAGAGAAGCACTTTCATGCGGTATTTTTAAAATTCAAATCTAATGCAAACAAAAATCCATGATGAGCAAAGTCTAAACATTTTAAATAAAGTGCCGTGTGAATCACATTGACACCTGAGGCAAAAGGGAAAAAATCAGTCATTCTAATTCTGTCTTTGTTTAAAATTTTGATATTTTGTTCATCAGAGGTTTGTTTGCATTAACTTTTGCTTTTTTAAAAAATACTTCACTGAAGCTTTTTTTTTTTTTCCTTAATCTCAACTACTGGGATCATTAATAACCTTCCTTTCAATTCTGTGCCCAATACTTTCCTCTTTCTAGTCCTGGCCGCCTCAGCCTTTGCTTTGTCATCGGACAGCTCTGCAACCTCAAGCAAGCTACGTGACCCCTCTGGTCTTCTCCTTTCCCGCCCATAAAGGTGGACTCAGGACCATGAGGCAGCCCCCACCATCAGGGCCTCATCAGGGCCTCATCAGGGAGGTGGTGAACTTGAGAGTGCCACAGGCCCTTTGCGGTCTCCTTCGCGTGGAGCATGCTGCTACTGCTGCTAAGTCACTTCAGTCGTGACCCTGTCCCTGGGATTCTCCAGGCAAGAACACTGGAGTGGGTTGCCATTTCCTTCTCCAATACATAAAAGTGAAAAGTGAAAGTGAAGTCGCTCAGTCATGTCCGACTCTTCGCGACCCCGTGGACTGCAGCCTACCAGGCTCCTCCGTCCATGGGATTTTCCAGGCAAGAGCACTGGAGTGGGGTGCCATTGCCTTCTCTGGTGGAACATGCTAGGAACTCATAAATGGCAGCTGCCCAATGAGTTGTGTCATTTCTAGCTCATAAACGAGGAAAGTGAGGCTCAGGGAGATTACACGGGTTGCTTCAAGTTGCAAATTTTGTAAGGCACATGGCGAGTAAGGTTGCACCTTACAAATCTTTTAAGGTTCAAGCTGAGTCTTGAACCTCAGTCTTGTGGTCTCCACTGTCTCTCCAAGTTCAACCCTCCTCAGTGAACAGAGGCAGAGGCTGAGGACAGAGCCGGGAAGAAGACTCAGCAAGAGAGGGGCAGAGATGGGCCTGGAACCCAGGTCTTTTCCCCCCAGCTCAGGCACTTTCCTCAACCCTGTGGTGCATTTGGAGTTCGCAAAGACTCATAAGGCTACATGGTGCATGATGTGCTAGAGTCGTTTAGTCATGTCCAACTCTCTGTGACTCCAGGGACCATAGAGCACCAGGCTCCTCTGTTCACGGGATTCTCCAGGCACAAATACTGGGCTGGGTTGCCATGCCCTCCTCCAAGGGATCTTCCCAACCCAGGGATCAAACCCTCATCTCCTACATCTCCTGAACTGGCAGGCAAGTTCTTTACCACTAGCACCACCTGGGAAAGCGATATGCAGTGCCCAGCAAAGAGACCAGCAAGCCATGTAGCTCAGTCTCAGGGCATTTGAGGCTTCTCCCAGTGGCCAGCCACTGGAGGCATCCTCCCTTCACAGCGGCCTCATATTTCATGAAGCCCAGAACTCTTTCATCTCTGACCTCATGCTGTTACCTATGCCTTCTGAGATGCATAGAGCTGTGCAAAGTGGGTACTTGGAGAGGGTGATGGTTCTCAGAAGATGCACATTGGGTAAACTCTTTAAAAACAGCCCCTCCTCAACTCTCTGGTTCAATTCACTCTGCTGTCAGCCGAATAAAAATGTGCAAACACCACAAGCTGTGCAGTTAGACAGAGTTGGACTTGAACCCAGCTGCCTAGCACTGGAAAGTCCCTTCACCTCTATGTCACACCATTTATTTGTCAAAAGTGGATAAGGGATGGTGTAAGAGTGACAGAGATCATAAATTCATTTATGTACCTTCATATACATTTTCATTTTTTGTATAGACGGGATTAAATTCTGTACAGTCATCTGCAAAGATGTGTTTTTTCTCTTACTTTTTTTTTTCTCTTATTGTTTTCTCTCTTATTGCTTCTTGAGCATCTTAGCACTGGGGCTTAGGAATGCAGGCTTTAGAGACAGATCTCCTGTTTAGAACCTTAGATCTGCAACATGCTGGCTGGACAAACGTCCTACTGTCCTCCTTTCACCTTTCCTGAGTGTTCACTTCTGTAAAATGGGGTGTTGACATTGTTCACCGTGTAGCTGAGAAGATTAAGCGACGGGCTGCAGGGAGAGTGTGTGATCTCTGGTGAGTGCTCAGTAAAAGCTCGCTGATATTTTTCCAAACACCAACTTTGGTTCTTTTAGGCTATTGCCAAAAAGATCGTATTCCAGAATGTGCTTAGCCTATATTCTGGTGATGGACGTCAAGGCTCTTTTCCCACACCTGCTGTACAAGAGCATGTCAGATTGGGAGATGCAGGCTCCACTCTGCACTGACCACCGTCGTCATTGCTAAGAAACTGAGTGGTTACGAGGCAGGAGATACAAAAGGGAAGGTTTGTGCTGTCAGGACCGTGCTGATGCTTTAACAGTGAGAAAGTACCCGTGTACATCACTGGTAGGAGATGAAAATTAAAAGAAAGAAAACAGAAGCAAGGGAAAGGAAGAAAAAGGGAACAAGGGAATGGGAAGAAAAAGGTAGAGTTTGGTGGATGGGATGTAAGATGTCAGGTGTAGGTCTGAAATAGACCAGCCAGGTGACCCAGAAATGGTAGCAGTGACTTTGTATCATCAATCCTGTGTGATTATCATGACCCTGGAACCATCTGGAATCTGACCAACCCAAGAGAGGGAACATATCCTTCAGATGCATTGTTTAAAAGACTGGCAAAGCGTGTGCACGCCTGTGTGTGTCTGTGCATTCATGTATGCATGAGTCTCTCTGGGCAAGTGTGTGTCTAAGTGCATGTGCTCTGTGTAAAGGCATGTCTGTGTGTGTGTATGTGTGTAAAGGCATGTCTGTGTGTGGGCATGCCAGCCAGCATGTGTGGGCATGCTTGCATGTCTGTGCATTTGTGAATGCGTGTGTCTCTGTGTGAATGTATGTAATCACATGTGTGTTTGTGTATATGTGTGCCTGCATGTGTATATGGCACTCGTGTGCATCTGAATATGCGTGTGTTCATGTCTGTATGTACATAAGGGTATGTATGTGCGTGTGTCTCCTCTTTAGCAGGCGAGAAGCCCAGTAAATGAGGTGAAGGATACAGATGCGAAATAGTTCTGAACACCGCCCGGTCCTTCACACGGGTAGTGAGGGAGGGTTAACATTCACGCTCAGGATGAAAAGCCCTTCTGATTGATCTCCCGCGCACCATCCCCTCTCCCTTGTCTTCCCTTAAGTTCTCTAATTGTCAGCTCCATCCACACAAAGAGCAGCGGATCCCGGCAGCATGTATAACCTGCCCTGACCGAGCTGTTTGAGAAAGCCAAGCTTTCTGGTTGATGGACGATTACCTCTCTTTAATTACCATTTTGAAAATTACATTTTGGATGGGGATCTCGGCAAAATGCACTCTGTTCTTTGATCGTTTGGATGGGGGCCCTTGAACTGAATCTCAGCTCCATCATTAGGAGCATCACTAATTTTCCAGAGAGAGATGCAAGTATGTGCATGTGTCGGGGGATTCCCCCAACACAAAGTGACTCCAGACGGCTCAGGCTTTGATGTTGAGGCATTTTCCAAACAGTCCTTTCTCTTTCTGGCCCACAAAAGCATCTGCAGCCACCTTTATCTGCTTTTACCTGAAGGTGTTCACTTCCTTCTCCCTTCTATTTGTTGCATCCAACCTGCAGACCAAACCAGCTAACTGCCTTTGTTAATACTGTGTGCAAAATCAGGGTAACGAGGCTCTGAGTGAGAGTCAAGAATTGCTAGCTAGGATGAAGGATTTAGAACATGAAGATCCTTGCTCTTATTGGTTGGCAGATGGACAGTAAGAGTGCTGATTTACCAAAGTCAAAGAGTTGTACCAGGTCATATAAAGGCTCCATCTGCTTCACTCATTCATTCATCACAGGTTTATAGATCTCCAGCTACAACAGGTACTGTTCTCAGCACAGGGGCTCAGGGATACCAGGGTCTTTCTGGATATCTGCGGCTTTCAAAGAGGTGAGCTGTGGATAGCTGAGGTTCCTGAATTTAGATGTGAGTTGTTCTTCACTCGCTAAGTTGTGTCCGACTCTTGGCGACACCATGGACTGCAGCACGCCAGGTTTCCCTGTCCTCCACTATATCCCGGAGTTTGTTCAAGTTCATGTCCATGGAGTCAGTGACACTATCTAACCAGCTCATCCTCTGATTCTGGGAAAGATTGAAGGCAAAAGGAGAAGAGGCCAGCTGAGAATGAGACTTGGGACCTGTCCTTAAGACTTGGGTCATCTAAGTGTCTTATGTAATCCTCACTGTAACCCAGTGAGAGTGTTGGTGCTACTTTCCCATTTTACAGATGAGGAAGCTGAGGCTATATGCAATGAAGCAGCCTGCCCAAGATCACACAGCTAATTCACACAGCCTGGAATTCAGATCCAGACCGTCCAAGCCCAGAGTCCATGTTCTTAACCACCGTTGTGCTGGGCTTCTAACATCCTGTGATGTTACGGTTCCAGGGGCCCACGTTCCTAGCCGTCCATGCCCTGCTGCGTGCTTCCCCATGCCTTCCCTTAGGGCCTTTGGAGCAACATCTCCGACCTCAGGAGGGAGTGTGGGAGAGAGAGAAGAGGAGAGAGAGCCAGGGCCTCCGATGCCTTGGAACTCCAGGAGGGCTGGCACCCCGAGGTCCCTGGGCCCGGATGCCCTGCACATTCATCTGGCACCGTCTGGCAGATGGGGACGCTGGTCAGTCTTGCCAGCTTGCCAGCTGGCCCAGGACGCCCGGTGGCTGGCACCTCGGCCACTTGGATGGGCGTACGGCCCGCCTCCCACAGGCACGCGGCTGGCAGTGAGGAGCAGATGGGCCGGCCGGCCGGGCCCTTGGCTCTCCGATAAGCTGCCAGCTGGCTTTGCTGCGCCTGGTGCCTTGGCACCTCTGGGCTGGCACTGCTGGGCGGGAGGGCCGGCACACTGGCTTCCTATGGATAGGAAGCTGGCACGGTCCTCAGAGCGGAGGGCTCCTTAGGCCTCCCTCCTGGCTGCCCTCTTAAATGGCTGGGGGCCTGGGCCAGTGGGAATTGAAGCCAGAACCCACTCCGCCGTCACCTTCACCTTGAAGCATCTGCAAGGGGAGGCAGGCTTCCTCTCCCATGCTGCCCATGACCTGCGGCGGTTTTCGCAAGCTCCAGCCTCCCCGGGATGTGCCACATTCCTACACTGACTCCCACTGCTGCAGCCTCCCTCGTCTGCTCGGGACGGGGTGGCCCCTGGCCGGCACCTCACTCACCACCAGCTCCTGTCTGCCTCCCTCAGAATCTGACCACCTGTCCTCCTTCAGCCTGGCTCAGTTTCTGCAGCTGCCAGAGGACGGGACCTGTGGAGGGCTGGGATCCCAGAGAGACACCATGGGAACGCCCAGCAGATGCGGGCTCCAGTCCTGGCGTGTCCCCAGGACTGCATTCCCACGACCTGGACCCGAGCCTTTCATTCTCTGGGCCTCCGTTTTCCTCTCCCTTTAAAGTGAAGAAGTCATATGGTACAGCTCATGGAGCTCTGCTCAATGTTATGTGGCAGCCTGGATGGGAGGGGAGTTTGGGGGAGAATGAAAGTGAAAGTTAGTCACACAGTCGTGTCCGACTGTTTGCGATCCCATGGACTGTAGCCAGCCTGGCTCCTCTGTCCATGGAACTGTCCAGGCAAGAATACTGGAGAGGGTTGCCACTGGGGGAGAATGGATACATGGATATGTGTGGCTGAGTTCCTTCCCTGTTCGCCTGAAACGGTCACAACATAGTTAATCAGCTAGTACCCCAATACAAAACATCTTTGGTGTTAAAAATAATCTAAATAAAAAAATAAAGTGAAGAGGTCAGAATAGAATAGAATCTCACCTTGGAGTCCCTAGTGAACCTCAGTTAGCTTTATTCACACACTTGTGTGTCTGGATGGCGTTATGGGTTGAATTGTATTCTGCACCCCGCCCCCCACTGCACCTCAAAAGATGCTGAAGTCCTGGGCCCCAGGAGCTGTGGATGTGATCTTATTAGGAAATTGGGTCCTTGCAGATGACCGAGTTAAGATGAGGTCATGACGATGGGCCTCATCCGAGATGACCATGTCCTTGTAAAAGGGGAAATCTGGACACAGAGACAGAGGGAGGGAAGATGATGGAGGATACGAGGAGAAGGCCGTCTCTGAGCCCAGGAATGCCTGAGGCCAGCGGAAGCAGAGAGAAAGAGCAATGGAACAGCCCCTCCCTCCTCAGCGCCCTCGCCCTCGAGGCACCAACCTGCCAACACACTGGTTTCAGACTTAGCGCCACCAGAACCTGGGACAAGACCTTTCTGTTCTAATCCCTCCTGCGTGTGGCGCTCTGTTACAGCAGCCCCTGGGCACTAATATTCACGGGCATAAACTTGCCTAAGAGACGGTCCTCACATTGCATGAGGTTCTCGATGGGGTTCTTGACCCACCCCACCCCAACTCGGACCGTTTAAGTCCTCCCCAGTCCTGGCACTCTAGAATCGTCCACAATGAAGTGGGAGGCCCAGAAAAGCATGAGAGGAGCCAGGTTTGGCTCCCCAGGGGAAGCTTTATGCAGGTGAACTGAATGTCATTACCTGTGATTTCAGATTCGAAGGAACTTCAGCAGGACTCAAGGCCAGCTCCCCTTTAATATCGAGCTTCACATGTGGGACCAGAAGGCCTTGGTTCAAACCCCTGCCCCCTAATTTCTGGATGGGAGGCTGACTAAGCCTGCAGAGCCGCCAGTTGGAAGGCAGATGGAGATATGAAAATGAAGCAACTTTAAAAATTAATACTCTCTCATCCTATAACTCCACTTCCGGGAATTTATCTGAGGATATGTGTCAAATTATAGGAAAAGTTTTATTTAAAAGGGTATCAATATTTATGGAAGTGGTTGGCTTATACATTTTTAAAAAACAAACAAACAAGGAAATAGCTGCCTCTGAACGGAGTCTGGTTTAGAATACTCTCAGCTGTAGGTAACAGGCAACCAACCTAGATGCCTGCAAAGCTCAGGACCTGTATTATCTCACCTCATGGGAAACCCAGGGGAAGGGTGCACTGATGGGATGCCTCAGGGGTCTGCGTCTGATCCTCTGCATCCTTTCCTGCATGTCCACTTTGTCCCTGTCCTGGCTCTCCTGGTGGACACAAGGTGGCTACAGGAGCCCTGACACCGCTCTCTGATCCAGCCACCTGAAGAGAAAGAACAGGGGCAATCTCTCATGAGTGCGTCTTTGCAAAAGCAACCCTTCCCAGAGGCTCCTAGCAAACTTTCCTTCATATCTCATCACCTGTGCCTGTGTTGTGTACCAGGTCCTAAGCAACCCTGAAAAGACAAACAGCATGACTGTGATTGGCATGCTCAGTCAGGGCGCACCCGTGAAGCTGGAGGCAGTTTCCCTGCAGGACTTGATGGTGAACTTGGACTCTGCTAGGAAGAAAAAGGTGGGAGTAGAATGGAATAGGGCTTCTCTGGTGGCTCAGAAGGTAAAAAAAAAAAATCTGCCTGCAATGCAGGAGACGTGGGTTCAATCCCTGGATTGGCAAGATCCCCTGGAGGAGAGAATGGCAACCCACTCCAGTATTCTTGCCTGGAGAATTCCATGGACAGAAGAGCCTCAGGCTACAGTCAATGCGGTCACAAAGAGTTGTACACGACCAAGCAACTAACCCAACAAAGAACTGACTATCAGGTAGGCAATCAACAGGGAGATGATCAGTTGTGGGACAGTGTGGTAGTCACTGGTTGGTAGATAAGCAGCAATTAAAAAGTTAGAATTATGTTAAAATTAAAAGGCAAAATAACAAAAAGGTGTAAAGTCTGAGACGTACATGACAAGGGTGAATATCAGTGGAGAATGTATTCTAGCAAATCAGCAAGACCAACACTCCAAAATGATGGGCAAATATAATATGTAAGTAGGATACAAATACTCACTAGTCCAATGAAAAAAGTAAAACTGATATCACTGATAATCAACACACTTTGTCTGTCAACATGTTCAGGTATATAGAAACTTACCAGTGCTATTGAACTTTTGAGGAAATGATCACTTAAATGCATTGTTGGTGGATGCATGAATCAGCAAAGCAAGTTGACCTTGAAATTGTATTTGCTTTAGTTTTTTAACTGAGGCAAAACTCATATAACATAAAATTAAGCTTTTTGGAGTGAATGGTTTAGAGGCACTTGGTGCATTCACAATGCTGTGTGACCATTGCCTGTATCTAGTTCCAAAGCATTTTCAACAGCCCCCAAAGAAAAACCCATACTCATTAATCAATCACTCCCCTAACCCCCAGACTACATCCCCTAGCAACCACTCACGTGCTTTCTCATTTCTCTGAATTTACCTATTCTGGATTTTTAATATAGACAGAACCACGCAGTATGAGATCTTTCATGTCTGGCTTCTCTCATTAGCATCACGTTTCCTAGGTCCATCCACGCTATTATTGCTGTTGTCTCGTTGCTCAGCCGCTAAGTTGTGTCCAACTCTTTGCACCTCCACGGACTGCAGCACACCAGATGCCTCTGTCCTCCACTGTCTCCTGGAGTTTGCTCAAATTCACGCCCACTCAGTCGCTGCTGCTATTTAACCATCCCATCTCCCGCTACCCCCTTGTCCTCCTGCCCTCAATCTGTCCCAGCATCAGGGTCTTTTCCAGTAAGTTGGCTCTTTGCATCAAGTGGCCAAATACTGGAGTTTCAGTTTCAGCATCAGTCCTTCCAATGAATGTTCAGAGTTGATTTCCTTTAGGATTAACTGGTTTGATCTCCTTGCTGTCCAAGGGACTCTCAAGAGTCTTCTCCAGCACCCTAATTCAAAAGCATAAATTCTTCAGCATTCAGCCTTCTTTATGGTCCATGTCTCACATCTGTACACGACTACTGGGAAAACCATGGCTCTCACTATACGGAGTTTTACCAGCAAAGTGATATCTCTGCTTTTTAATACATTGTCTAGGTTCATCAGAGCCCTCCTTCCAAGGAGCAAGTGTCCTTTAATTTCATGGCTGCAGTCACTGTCATCCATGCTATAGTACATATCAGTACTTCATTCCTTTTTATGGCTGAATAATATTCTATTATGTATGCTGTTTTTTGACCCATCAGTTTCACCTCTGGAAATTTATCCCCAGAAAATTGTCACAAGGTGTACAAAGAATAACCGCTAGGATCTTCCTGGAGATGTTATTTGGATGGCTGCAAGATGAGACTAAAGAAGTTGTTTATGACCATCTGTGTGACAGGATACTATGCAGGTACATCAGTTGTAGCACAGTAGAATATTTCATAATACTAGTAAATACTTGTGACACATTGATACTTTTTGGAAACAGATTATACCATTGCATGTCCTAGATGACCCCATTTTCATTCTTTCTTTACATTATATACAATAGCTGCTACTTCTGGAGTATCCACTGTGTGTCAGGCACTGTTCTAGGTACTAAATATAAAGCAGTGATAGAAATTACTGACCCCAAGTAGCTTTCTATGTCCTACTGTGAGTAAGTCTGGTGGTTGTGGCAGGGTGAAGGGAGGATGAATAGGAAATCAGGGGTCTTGGGAAGTAAGGTTAGAAGCAGATTATCCTCATATGTGTCGGGAGTCTGGATACATGAATAGAAAACAGCCTGGGTGGTGGATTACAAGCAATCTTTATTTCTTTCTTTTCGTGTGCCCATAACATCTGCATCTTCTTCAGTAAACATGTGTGCTACATTTAAACTCAAGGAAAAGAAAGCTGACTTGAAAGTGGTGGGCTGATTGAGAACTAGCTGCATCACAACATCAAAATGAATATAATAGAAATATAAATAAAATTGCACAACTTAAAAGTTACAGAATCTATGCTTACAAATATATATCTATATATATTTAAAAACTGGTTGAAAACCCAGTTTTCTTTGTATAGTGATTGGCACATAGTGGGTGTTCAAT